GGGCTTAGGAAGGGTTGGGAAAGGTTGGACTGGCAGTCACCAGGTACGTGTGGCTCGGATGAGCTCTCATTAAAACCTCTGGGCTGTGTGGCTTGGAGTCTCCAGCTAGGAGATGGCTGGGTCAGCACTGAGCAAAGGGAGGGAGAGGAAGGGCTGTGGAGGATTCTGGGCAGATAGGAATTTTTATGGGAGCTGGGGATTGTGGGGGCTGCAGGAAGTCTGGCAGGCAAAATGCAAGGTGCTGCAGTCACCTTTCAGCAGGTGCCGAGAGCAGCCCTCAGCGATGAAGATGGAGGTGGGGGAAGAGAGTCAGCCCTGCCACACAGCGCCCATGTGGTGGCAGTCTGATCTGTGGGGGGAGCTTAGAGCACAAACAGAACAGGGGTGGAGGAGAGGCCACTGCATCCTGGGATACTGAAGGACTTACACTAGGCTGACACATCTGTGGGGAGTGGCCACACATTAATGGAACAGGAGCAGGGTTGTGCAGGTCACAGATAATCCTGCCCTGGAATGGCATAACGTTGAGCTTCATAACGCCTGCTTTAAGGCATTTAAAGGTGTTGACATGTAGACAGTCCAGGAGTTAAGAGCTCCAGGAGTCACCTAAAAGTAACGGGCAACAAGGCCCTCAAGTGTTCACCAGTGAAATAGGTGAGGGTGGGGATTTACTGTATGTCATTTGTTCTGCTAACTTGTATAGTTCGTGGAGTAAATTAGCATAGGTTATCTTTCATTCTCTGGGAGGGAAGAGTGCATCCTCAACTCGCATTGCAGGTAGAGGGAGTTCCTGGGGGAAGGATGATGAAAGTTAGTCCTCAACACTTTGAACAACATCCAGAAGGCAGATTGAGTCATTCTTGTACCTTAATTTATTATTCAAACAGATATAAATCAGTATATACTAGTCAAAAATGGTATTTCTTCCCTGTTCACTAATAATATTGCTCCCACTTGTCACACAGAAACTTTTCGGTTGTTTAGAAGTGAGACTCTATTTAAAACATTTGCCAGCAAAAGATTTTATCAGCCGCCTATATGTTAACAATGTGTTTCAGGCATTAAACAAGAAGAAGAGCAGAATACACTGAAATATTATTTTTGTGTCCTTCTAGGTCTATGAATTCATTTTTGATTATCTATTTAATAATCCTCCTTTTTGAAGCCATCCTGAGTACAATTTTAAAATATGCTTGGCAAGCTGAAGAGAAATGGAATGAGCCTTGGTACAATCAGAAGACTGAACATGAAAGAAACAGCAGCAAGGTAGTGGGTAGTTGTATAAAACTTCAGTTTGAAATGCATTAAATAAACCCACTGATATCATTGAAGTATGAAATTTAGAATACTTCCATTCTTGATTTGCTGTATGGCAAACACGCAATTCTGTGTAGCTACCATTGCAAATCTGTATAACTTTTTAACACACCCTCTCTGGATGAGTCCTGGTTCAGTCTTACTCTTTCAGATCCTATTTCCAAAGTGAGAGAACCTGAACTTTGTTATGCCTTTAGAGTCCCCATTCCATTTCAGATACATTCATGAGTCTTTGCATGTAAAATTAATGTGTGAGAGTATATTATTTATACTTTTATTAAAATAAAAATGAGCTTGGGATTGCTTTTTTTCCCCGTGGTCTTTCAATACGTAATTTTAGTATTTATTCTGGAGTATTTTGTAGTGATGGAATTATTCAGATAATTTCCCCTTGCCTATAATTTAACTGCTTTGAAAATGTTGCCAGAGTTCTCTCACCTGCCACCTTTTCTTTAGAGCTTGAATGAATTCTGTGTGGTTATATTCCACACGATTTTATAGTATATATTTGTAAGGATTATTCAGTTTTATTTTTTATAGAGGAAGTCATTTTTTTTTTTCTTACATGTTAAATTTGTTTTAGGGAGCTCCTGCTTCCCACTTTGTTAACTTCCCTCTCCATCACTTTCATCTTAAAGGCCAAACCTTTCTCTGAAAACAAATGTTATGCTGTATCAGTCACATTTAGTTTGTTTTGTCTTTATAATTTAAGACTTGTTAAAAACAAGTCTGTAAAAAGGGAGGTGGGAGTGGATTTTCAAGAGCACAAAGATAAGTTGGGTGTTTAATTAGTCCATGAGGGTATGTCCCCACAAGCAGGAATGTGTTTCCCCAGGGCAGCAGATTGCCCCACTTGAGGTAGGGGAGGCTGGGGTCAGCACCTGGTTGGCCCCAGCAACCTTACCTGGGGTCCTGAGGCTGCAGAGGTGGTGATCTGGGCATGCAAAGCCTGCCTAGCAGCCAGAGTGTGGCTCTGGTTTCTGGCGGTGCATGCTGCAGGCATGTGCGCCATGCTGCTTTTTTCCACATGGTTATTTTAGATACCAGGATTTCCCAGTATCTAATTTTGCTGTCATGCTGCAAATATCCAGCACAGCAAACGGATCCACGTGCGCTGCGTGCATTTCATGGCACCTCCGAAAGGCTTTGAGGTGCCACAAATCACACATTCCCACTCAAGTGAACATGGTTTGCAAGTGTACCCCTAGGCTCTAAAGTAGTGGCAAGTGTATGCTGCTGCTGCTCCTGATGATGATGATGATGAAGCAAGTGTCACCACACTCGTATATCGGAAGTATGAGGGCCAGAAAGCCAGCAACAGGTAGAAAGGTCAATGTCAATAAGACCTTTGGCACCTAAAGGAGGACCTTAAGGAAATTTGTAGATGATGTGGTCAGCCGTCTGAGCTTGAGCCCTACCTACAGCTGCAGCCAGCGTTGTTGGAGAGGCCTCGAGTGCGTGCTTGCCTTAACATTACAATACTAATGTGTCAGTGGATCCAGATTCTTGTACTTATAAGCAATAAGGCTTATTTTTTGCTGCTCTTACACTGAAAGAAAGTGGAAGAGAATTTATGAAGAAGTCATAAATCAGGAATCATTATTATTATTATCATCATCATCATCATCAGGAATGACTTTTACAAACTTAACTATACTTTTACAACCGTAACATTAATTCAATTATGATATACCACATGCATAGAGATGTGTGATGTTATATGATGTGAATGTTTTTCATGTTTTAACTGAAAGATAATTTCTGCTTGAATGGTTTAGCTTAAATACTAAACGTGTATCAGAAATGCTCTTTTACAGCCTTTAAAAATGTTATCTTAGCATTGTGATCTTGAATAGCATTAAATGAATTGAAATCTGTTTTTTCAGAATTAGTTAGTGGTCATTAGTGATTTCCTTTTAATATCTGATACTAGTTAAAACATCTCTAGCTGCTTGCAGTAGTCCATCTTGTGTTTTTCTTAATTTCTGGAGTCCTGTCAGTGTTTTGAAGAAAATAGGGTAAGCGTTTACTAAGTCATGTCATCCCATCACATTCATCTTAAAGGCCAAACCTTTCTGTGATGAAAGCAAACATGATGCAGTATGAGTTGCATTTAGTTTGTTTTTTGTTAACCATTTAAAACCTGTTAAAGAAGTTTGTATTTGTAATGCAAGCTGGTAGTTTCAATTCAGTTTCTAGAAGAGAAATGCTTGTATTGCAAAATAATGACTTTGTGATAACTAACACCTTCCTTGGCAGTCTCGCTAGAGAGGACAAGGATTAGTGGGCTTGGGAACTGGAATACCCCTCTCGTTACTAAAAGCATTCTCTCTGCATCAGTCTTAAAGCATTATTGGGACAGTGTGGGGAAGCCTGCATTGTTGCTACCTGTGTTTGTATTTCTTCTGTGTATAGGGGACTTCAGTTTCCTCCAGTGTTATCATTCTGTCATCTTGTGTACATGCTAAAATATACTTGAGTGACTGTATTCCATTTATTCGCTCTAATCCCTTCCTTCCTTTTTTCTCTCTCATAGATTCTGAGATTTATTTCAGATTTTCTTGCTTTTCTGGTACTTTACAATTTTATTATACCTATTTCACTGTATGTGACTGTTGAGATGCAGAAATTTCTTGGATCTTTTTTTATTGGCTGGGATCTTGACCTCTATCATGAAGAAACAAACCAGAGAGCACAAGTAAATACTTCAGACCTCAATGAGGAATTGGGACAGGTAAACAGAAAAAAGTCCTTTTCTTGAATTTTTAAATATTATTAATCACTAAGGAGACAGATATTTTTATTTTTCTTGATTCTACCTTGAGCATATTTTCATTCTGATATGATCTGCTTATCAGACTTAATGGCATCATGCAGTCTGCATATCAGACTTGATGGCATAAGTCAATTTTTCTAAACATTTACAGAATAAATGTTGTGATGTATGAGGAGACATTTTTTACTGTAATTGATGTATGTGATTCCAAATTATTTTTTCTTTGTTTGACTAGGTGGAGTATGTGTTTACAGATAAAACTGGTACGTTAACTGAAAATGAGATGCAGTTTCGAGAATGCTCTATTAATGGCATCAAATACCAAGAGATCAATGGCAAACTAATTCCTGAGGGCTTGACTGAGGATTCTCCAGATGGAAGTAGACAGAGTCTTGTAAGAGTTTGTTTTTCTTGGAACTGATTACATACTGACCAGCTTTTCAGCTTAAATAAACCTTCCATTAAATGTGTTATCTAAAAGAATTATTTCACCTGTTCCTTTCCTATGTCCTTGTGACAAGGTATTTAGCAGAACTCTCAGATTTGTTGGAATCTGACAGGCCACTCCACGAATGCTTCTGCTGTGGTCTCAAACTTGCAACCTCTGGGCTGCCGTCTGCGTGACTTAGCACCTGCACCAACCAAGCACTTTCAGCTGTTAATGGGCATTGGGCAGTTGGAGAGCTTGGACTGTGTCACTGACTGCACTGTGCTACTGTAAAGTAGCTCATCTTTATTCTAGGAAGTATGGCTTCTGAATGTTTTGATAATGCTTGTAGTTTTTAGATATCTTTTTTTCTTATAGATGAAAGAGGAAGAACTCTTCTTGAAAGCTGTCTGTCTCTGTCATACGGTGCAGATTAGTGCAGATCAAACAGATGGCATGAGTGATAGTCCTTGGCATGCCAATGGAATAGTATCTCAGTTGGAGTATTATGCTTCCTCACCAGATGAAAAAGCTTTAGTTGAAGCTGCTAGCCGGTAAGTTCAAAGGCCACAATTGTGTCCTAATTTAAACAAGCATAACATGGCCAGAAGCCTCTTAAAAACTGAACGAGGGATTCATGGCCCCACGGCTGATTACTGACTGCCACCTTGTAGCCCACTGGCAAAGCTGCCTTTCAGTAGCTGGAAGTAGTAGCCCAAACAGTAACGTAAACATCTTCTCAAATCAATGTACTGAATTGATTGACCTCTATGGTAGGAACAAAGGGAAAAAAGGGTTTGTCCCAATTAAAGGTCTAGACATGTGTTGGTTATTCTTATGGGATGAAGAGCCATGCCTTATCCCAGATAATCCCACATCTAGAAACTGGAGGTTAGTTTATTTCTCAGCACTCTCTGCCTTTCAGGCAGTCACCAGTTTTAAACGAAAATGGAATGATGAGTCATTTGGATATTATGTAATCTTTTAATAACTAGCAGGCTAAATTTTGTTTTCTTGCTCTCTAATAGCATCTCAATGTATAGTTTAGCATTTATTCTAGTAATAGCACACCAGCCTCAGAATTGAAGTTCTGCTTGTTATTGTCATCAACTTTAGTAGTTCTATGAAAAATAAGTTAAACTGCGTTAGCAGGAGTTATGAATTCCAAAGCATGATCAACCTGAAAGAAACCATCTGTATCAGTTGTCACACATGTGATTTGCTAATGTTTAGGAGGGTGCTAACTTAGTAGAAATCGAGTGGCAGTTAGGTTTAGTAAATTAAAAACTGTTATGGAGTATATGTAAGGTGTCTATTTAGAATGATAGCATAAGGTGTACTGTAGCTGTGTACCGTATGGAAAAAAAATACATTAAATAGTGGATATTTAAAAAACATTAAAGCTTCTTTTACTCCAAATATAAACAGTGACCAGATGATATTGTGTTATACATCACACAGCATTGTAATATTTTTAAATCTCTTCAGAAATATAGAACCTCTCTGCTCAAGTTACATAATACTATTGTGGTGTTTAAATAACTGCTTTTGTACAGAACCTTTGTTAACTAAGATATCAAGGCAATCTTTTTATCTTCCCCCATTTAGAGTTGGAGTTGTATTTACTGGAACCAGTGCAGAAAGTATGGAAATTAAAAGCCTTGGAAAACCAGAAAGGTATTTTTTCTGTATCCCACTTCACTGCTTTTCACAGGACAGTTTTTTTTTAGCAGTTAAAATTAGCGTAGTATTCTAAACTTCTTACTGACGTCACCGTAATTAAAAAAAAAAATCCACATGGAGATTGCTGCTTCCCCTGTAGTTCCTAAAGGCAAGCTTTTCTGATGCCTTTGAATACAACATCGTTAACCCAGTTTCTTTTCCTTGTTAGCAAAGGTCATTTGCATGTAATATTAATAAAAGGGGCTACGTGTTTTATAATTGTCCTTCTTTGTGCTGGGTCCACAGAACATGAGTCTTGTCAGAGTTCTCATCTGAAGAGTTTGGGCTCTTTAACTCAGTTGACAATGTTTCTAGTTCTAAAAGTCCTAATCAACTACATGGCAGTTGTCACACATGCACTTTCTGGTCACGTGTCTCACATTTTTCAGAAAGGAGAGAATATGTAAATGATTTGTATCCTCCTCAGTGTACCAGATCATTATTTTCTTGGGTTTGTCTAACACATTAATTTCATGGTTTAAGTAATACATTTTCAGCCCTGACTGCTTATAATTAGGTTTATAAATTAATATTTAGGACTCTCTGTAGAAGAAGTTTGGTTCAAGAAGGTAGTGTACAGTCTTTCTGATGGCAGGCAGTTTCAGGGTTGCCTTTAGAAAGTAAAATTTATGGTAAAATTTTCAAAAGCTCTGAAATGCCATTTTCAGAAGTGGCTTAGACACACAGGGTGGCATTCTATTCCATTCCTGGTCAGCTAAGGGTCCAGACATGGTTGTCTACATGGATTTTTTGGTTGCTTCAGGATAAGAAAAGGTAATTTTATATATATGTTGGAATTCTGTTTCTGGCCAAGTAGCCCTGTGCATATGGACGATTACATATATATGCAGACTGGCATGCACAGTAGCATTTGGAGCATGCATGGGCATCCCTTGTGAATATGTAGCAGCTTTAGAAACTTGAAACTTGAGTCAACCAAAACATGAAAACCTTAGAAGCCTTGGAAAACAGAGTCAGCTACTAGGCGTAGACTCAGAAAGGGGAAGACTGAGGCTAGGTACAGACATTGCACTTTTTCTGGTCTAGGTTATTGGAAACAAGTCTATACCTGTAACACAACAGAACTTTGGGGCACAGACAAGTTGCAGAATGGCAGATCCTGGTCTAAGATAGACCTGGGTCCATGTAGTATCAGACTTACACGATCTAGATTGGACCAGGCTATTGGATGTCAGTGCCAGGTCCATTCGTGAATCAAGGTCACTGTCTACCACTATCCCAGTTACCTATGTGCCCCCCCTCAGGCAGTTCAGCTCACTGCTCCAGCAGGGCAACCTAGCCAGCCCCAGTGCCATAGCAGCAAAGCTTGGCGCCCAGGGCAAAGCCCACAGCAGCAGCCCGCCCTCATCCCACGCACAGATCCGGGGGGCACACGCCCCCCACCATGCTTTCACTAGAGTACATGCAGCAGTGGGAGCCGCCCTTCCCCCATCCCCACACCCCCAAAATGAGCCACTCGCGGCTCTGTCTCACACCCCACCCCAGCTTGGCGGCTCCTGTTGGCATCCCTTCACTTCAGTGCCCAGAGTGGTTGCCCTGCTTGCCCCCGCCCTTGCTATGGCACTGGCCAGCCCAACCTCCAAGTTCTCTGTCTGTCAGCTAGCCAGGACAAAGGTTGCAGGGGCTTGAAAACTGTTGAGCTGGAGGTGGTGCCAGCAGCATGCCCCACATTCCCAGCTGGGTCAAAGGAGCCACAGAGTGTCCCTGCCCTGTCCCAAGACCCGGGACCTGGGACCCTGCACTGCAGTGGCTCCAGAAAGGGCTTGTAGGATTTCCTCACCCACACACCCAGCCAGCCAGCACCACCTCCTGTGCAGCTGCAGAGGGCAGTTCTAACATGGAAATTGGGGGTGTTAGCAGGTCCTTGTGCTGGGCTGTGTTAGCAGCCACCTCTCCCCTGCCTGAGCTGAGCCAGCCCTGCCAGCAGCATTTGCTGCTTGAGCAGGAACAGGGGCTGGGAAAAAAATGGTTGCCAGCTGGGCCTGGCACAGGGACCCTCTAAATCCCCCTCTCTGCCCATTCTCTGTGCTAGAATTGCCCCCTGCCAGATGCTGCAGCCACATGGGCATAGCTACTTCTCCTTCCCCAAGGACCGGAGCCCCACCGCTGCACAGGAAGCGACACTGGCTGGGTTAGGGGAGATCCTCCAAGCCCTTTCTGGAGCTGCTGCAGCACAGGGTCCCAGGTCCTGAGGCTTGGAACAGGGCAGGGACACTGTTCCACCCCCCGACCCCGCTAGAAATGTGAGGTACACTGCTGGCACCACCTCTTCCCAGCAGCTCATGAACCCTGCTCCCTTCCCCCCACCCACCCCAGACAAAGTTTAGGGACCCCCAGGCCACCAAGTGGGGGCAAGAAACCTGCAAAGATTGGACCAATTTGGCCTCATGCTTTTTGACTGACCGTACTTGGCCTGAGAGCAAACTCCTATCCTTTCCTCCCAGCAGCTAGGGTACTCGCCAGAGAAGCTGCATTATAGGCACCTTGTGGGAAACAGGTGGAGGGGAGAGTTAAATCTTCATGTCTTATTCCTAGCAGAGCACTCTAACCCAGCAGTTCTCAAACTGTGGGTCGCAGCCCCAAATGGGGTTGCAACATCGGTGGATGGGGTTGCAGGGAAGGGGCTTGTTAATGGTTTGCTGTGGTGTGGCTAGTGCTGTACTGAGATGTCAGATGTACCCAAGTTCAAATCCCTGTGTGTGTGTGTGTGTGCGTGTGTGTAAAAGCAGGTTAAAAAAGTGTCGCTTCAAAGTATGTTTATGGAGTGCCTGTGCTAAAACATGCCACAGTTTTAAAAAAAAAAAAAAAAAAAA